GGACAAGGGGCCAACAATCTCCTCTCCCTGAGATGCTGGCTGCCACTGGGGAGAGAGACTGGTTGTCTCTTCTCCCTTAACAACACACTGCTGCTGGCGAGTCAGACCGACTGTCTCGACTCCCGGTAACGCTGCCTGGTGCTGGGTAGTGGTAGCGACCATCTCCACTCCCAGTGATTCTTTCTGCTGCTGAGATGAGGGACCGACAGTTTCCTCTCTCTGTAACTCACCCTGCCGCTGGGGAGAGAGACTGGTTGTCTCCTCTCCCTGTGAGATGCAATGCCGCTGGGGAGGGAGACCGACCGACTCTTCTCCCTGCAAGGTAAACTGCTACTGGGGTCTCTCCAAACGTGCCAACTTGTCTGCCCTCTCTGCCCTGCGCTGCAGGGTCTCAAGCACTAGGTTCCTCGTGAACTCTACGAATTTCTCAGCTGGATTGGGTCCGAAGAAATCCAGCCGCAGCTTCATCATAGCGTCAAACTCTGCCTCAGTGTAGCTGATCGTCATGCTTGTTGTAGTCAGGGCCGCTGTAGGGATACTAGCGTTGCCCTCAATATACTCCACACGTTACCGGTGTCTCCTCGCTGCTTCTGCTTGCACTAGGACGCCATCCTGCCGCTGCCACCAGTGTGATGGAACGCCTGCCACCCGACTGGGTGCCTCCATCAAAAGATGCTCCTAGTTCTCGCCAAGGACCATCAGCACCGCACTCGACACCACAACCACCGTCAAACCCACGAACCGCCGTAGCTTGGTTGGGGTTTTCGCCGTCCTCCACCCACTCTGGACCCAAGACCAGGGTTTAGCTCCCAGTGGGTAGACCTCTCTTAGATCCAGAGAGCAGGAACCAGGAACAAACTCTTACAAGAGCTTAAACCTTTAAGGACCAAACTTCTGGAATAAAAGGGAATCATGACATGTCACACATGTCATGTGTCCTTAAGGGCTTAAACTCAGGAGGTATTGTGATATAGCAATTCCTAGAGTGTAGTCATTCCATCCCCCAAACATGAGCCAAGACTTCATGAGGGGGTAAAGCAGTTATGTTTAAATGGAAGCAAGCACTCACAATTTATACAATTCCCCAGGCCAGACCCACACCCCCTGGACCTGATGGTACACAGGCATACAAAGGACACAAACCAATCAAAACAATACAACAATGTCTGACACTCCCATTCATTACAGCAAAATCCTCCCTTCTGTCTGTGATATAATTACTGAACACACTGGGCTAATGTAATTATCACAGGCAGGAAAATATACAGTTTTACACAATATTCATAACTTTAAAAGTATACATCACATTCACATAAACTTACATATTCTGTACCAGCATACGCAGTATACAAACATAAGTCAAAATCATACAAATTGGTCCAGTGGTTCAAAAGTTAGATGGAAGTCCTTTTTGATCGACAGCAAGCATGGCTTGGGTGTGGTAAGCCAATTATCTACAGGTACAGAAAATATCTCTATTCACAACAACAGCAAAAATACACAAAAATACATAATTCCTTTCATACTGAACAGAACCCCCACATTCAACCTATCCCCAGATAGCTTGGTTCTGAGCGCTCAATGTATCTGAACAGCGCTCAGATCCCACGAACATAGTCAAATCGTCATGGGGTTAAAGTTTTGCAAGGGCCATACACCCCAGGGCCATAGTCATGAGGCAGGAGGCTGGCAATCAGGCTCCTCTAAAAGCCAGGGGCAAAGGGCAGTTGGTCACATAAAAATCCATTTACAAAAGGCATTTTGTCACACATCTCCCCTTTGGGGGGGGGGAGTCTGTCGGTCGGTGCCTGAGTTAGTCGATAAACCAACCCACAGTGAACAAGTACATGAGTAGCCTACCCACAACACACATTTACTGCACCTGGTGGTTCCTCTGGTGGTACTGGGCAACACGCTATGGGGACTTGGGGGACAGAGGCCAGCTGCACTCTGCCCCGATGCCAGCGCTTCTGCTGGGATAGCCTGGATAGGGGTAGTGACCATCTCCACTTCCAGTGATGATGGTTGCTGCATGGACAAGGGACCGAAATCTCCTCTCCCTGGGATACTGGCTGCCGCTGGGGAGAGAGACCGGTTGTCTCTTCTCCCTTGAAAACACACTGCCGCTGGGGAATCAGACCGACTGTCTCGACTCCCGGTGATGATGGTTGCTGCAGGGACAAGGGGCCAACAATCTCCTCTCCCTGAGATGCTGGCTGCCACTGGGGAGAGAGACTGGTTGTCTCTTCTCCCTTAACAACACACTGCTGCTGGCGAGTCAGACCGACTGTCTCGACTCCCGGTAACGCTGCCTGGTGCTGGGTAGTGGTAGCGACCATCTCCACTCCCAGTGATTCTTTCTGCTGCTGAGATGAGGGACCGACAGTTTCCTCTCTCTGTAACTCACCCTGCCGCTGGGGAGAGAGACCGGTTGTCTCCTCTCCCTGTGAGATGCAATGCCGCTGGGGAGGGAGACCGACCAACTCTTCTCCCTGCAAGGTAAACTGCTACTGGGGTCTCTCCAAACGTGCCAACTTGTCTGCCCTCTCTGCCCTGCGCTGCAGGGTCTCAAGCACTAGGTTCCTCGTGAACTCTACGAATTTCTCAGCTGGATTGGGTCCGAAGAAATCCAGCCGCAGCTTCATCATAGCGTCAAACTCTGCCTCAGTGTAGCTGATCGTCATGCTTGTTGTAGTCAGGGCCGCTGTAGGGATTCTAGCGTTGCCCTCAATATACTCCACACGTTACCGGTGTCTCCTCGCTGCTTCTGCTTGCACTAGGACGCCATCCTGCCGCTGCCACCAGTGTGATGGAACGCCTGCCACCCGACTGGGTGCCTCCATCAAAAGATGCTCCTAGTTCTCGCCAAGGACCATCAGCACCGCACTCGACACCACAACCACCGTCAAACCCACGAACCGCCGTAGCTTGGTTGGGGTTTTCGCCGTCCTCCACCCACTCTGGACCCAAGACCAGGGTTTAGCTCCCAGTGGGTAGACCTCTCTTAGATCCAGAGAGCAGGAACCAGGAACAAACTCTTACAAGAGCTTAAACCTTTAAGGACCAAACTTCTGGAATAAAAGGGAATCATGACATGTCACACATGTCATGTGTCCTTAAGGGCTTAAACTCAGGGGGTATTGTGATATAGCAATTCCCAGAGTGTAGTCATTCCATCCCCCAAACATGAGCCAAGACTTCATGAGGGGGTAAAGCAGTTATGTTTAAATGGAAGCAAGCACTCACAATTTATACAATTCCCCAGGCCAGACCCACACCCCCTGGACCTGATGGTACACAGGCATACAAAGGACACAAACCAATCAAAACAATACAACAATGTCTGACACTCCCATTCATTACAGCAAAATCCTCCCTTCTGTCTGTGATATAATTACTGAACACACTGGGCTAATGTAATTATCACAGGCAGGAAAATATACAGTTTTACACAATATTCATAACTTTAAAAGTATACATCACATTCACATAAACTTACATATTCTGTACCAGCATACGCAGTATACAAACATAAGTCAAAATCATACAAATTGGTCCAGTGGTTCAAAAGTTAGATGGAAGTCCTTTTTGATCGACAGCAAGCATGGCTTGGGTGTGGTAAGCCAATTATCTACAGGTACAGAAAATATCTCTATTCACAACAACAGCAAAAATACACAAAAATACATAATTCCTTTCATACTGAACAGAACCCCCACATTCAACCTATCCCCAGATAGCTTGGTTCTGAGCGCTCAATGTATCTGAACAGCGCTCAGATCCCACGAACATAGTCAAATTGTCATGGGGTTAAAGTTTTGCAAGGGCCATACACCCCAGGGCCATAGTCATGAGGCAGGAGGCTGGCAATCAGGCTCCTCTAAAAGCCAGGGGCAAAGGGCAGTTGGTCACATAAAAATCCATTTACAAAAGGCATTTTGTCACACATCTCCCCTTTGGGGGGGGGGAGTCTGTCGGTCGGTGCCTGAGTTAGTCGATAAACCAACCCACAGTGAACAAGTACATGAGTAGCCTACCCACAACACACATTTACTGCACCTGGTGGTTCCTCTGGTGGTACTGGGCAACACGCTATGGGGACTTGGGGGACAGAGGCCAGCTGCACTCTGCCCCGATGCCAGCGCTTCTGCTGGGATAGCCTGGATAGGGGTAGTGACCATCTCCACTTCCAGTGATGATGGTTGCTGCATGGACGAGGGACCGAAATCTCCTCTCCCTGGGATACTGGCTGCCGCTGGGGAGAGAGACCGGTTGTCTCTTCTCCCTTGAAAACACACTGCCGCTGGGGAATCAGACCGACTGTCTCGACTCCCGGTGATGATGGTTGCTGCAGGGACAAG